ATCTGTGCCTGTTACATAACAAGAATGATAAGCTTATGTTATGTAGTCAAGAATGAGGTAATGGGAGAGTGGCCTTGCGTTTATGAAAGTCCACCACCCCCCCCCCACCCCATACTAACCTCGATCCGTTAAATGAGTGGGTGAGTGTATCTGTGCTTGTTACATAACAAGAATGATAAGGTTATAGACATAAGCGTAGTCAATGATGTGTGTGCGATGTGAAGACCTTGTTGGAATGATAAGGATATAGACATACGCGTAGTCATTGATGTGTGTGCGATGTATAGACCTTATGAGAATGATAAGGTTATAGACATAAGCGTAGTCAAGGATGTGTGTGCGATGGGACGACCTTATGGGAATGATAAGGATATAGACATACGCGTAGTCATTGATGTGTGTGCGATGCATAGACCTTGTGGGAATGATAAGGATATAGACATACGCGTAATCTATAGACCTTATGAGAATGATAAGGTTATAGACATAAGCGTAGTCAATGATGTGTGTGTGATGTGAAGACCTTATGAGAATGATAAGGTTATAGACATACGCGTAATCTATAGACCTTATGAGAATGATAAGGTTATAGACATAAGCGTAGTCAATGATGTGTGTGCTATGTGAAGACCTTATGAGAGCCAGAACCCTGGGCGGGACACAAGAGCATGGATATGATTTTTATCTGCATGGAACATATATCTATTTATCTATCTACCTATCTATACCTACTTGTCTATATCCACCTACCCATCTATCTCTTTCTACTATCTAGTTATCTATCTATCTATCTAACTAATTACATATCTATCTACCTACCCATCTACCTCTTTCTACTATCTAGTTATATATCTATCTATCTAACTAATTACGTATCTATCCACCTACCCATCTATCACGGACACTGATATGCAGATGCGTGCATCCAAGTGTTTGTGTGCGGTGTGTTGTTCACATTGCGAGTGTACTGTGTCTCAATATCATGACATATGTCATGACGTATGTCAGTACTGTGTCTCGCACTGTCTTCATGGAGTGCGTAAACACTGCGGGGCTGGTTCACTATATGCCGCCTATTCAAGACACGTGGACAGTACATATGTCAGTATGTATGAGTATGTATGTGTAACATGCATCTGTGAAGACTATACATGCATGGTGTGTGAGTGTATACCTATTTTGATTCACCTATCCAGGACACATTGACAGTACATATGTCATTTTGTATGTGTAACATGCGTTTGTGAAGATTATACATACTCGGTATGTTGTTAGATCATGGTATGGCGCAACCCGCCTTAGTTCTTTTAGAAATGTCTTCGCAATATGATTCTATATTTGGTATGGGTGTGGTATGTATATCCTCATGATGGATTCTTCATCGGATGCGGATGGCTGCGATGATTCCTGCTGCTGCAGCTCGTGTTCTGGTAATGGCAATGCCTGATCAGTGGGTATACATTCCTTTCGTGCTATTTTTAGCCCTGTCACCATAGCAACCATCTATTTCAGATACTGATATTGGCGTTTAATCGATGTTTTTCTCGTACTCTCTGCGGACTTCTCATCTATTTTTATTTACCTACACATCAGATGAGCGTGTACTTGAAATGTTCCTTTCCTTGCTATTTTTAGCCATGTCACCATAACAACCATCTATTTAAGACATTGATATTAGCGTTTAATGGATACTTTGCTCGTACTCTCTTTTCTTCCGTCTCAGGGCATTCCATCTCCTAAACACAAAGACTGTTGTGTGGTTGATGAGGTTATATTCTTTCTTTCGTCCCAATCATATCCATTGTTTCTTATAGTCTATCTATTTTTATCATGCAACTATTTTAACACACTTGTTGTTATCACTTAACTATGTTCACCCACTTATTTTTATCATGCAACTATTTTAAACCTTCTACCTTTATCATCCATTTTTATTCACAGAGACTAATGAGCGATATGACCGAACCTTTCAGTGAGGCGGAGGTGAAGTCAATGAGTGTGCAGTTGCTAAGGGCAACACACCACATGCACTCCAATTGGATTCTGCATCGTGACTTGAAGACGTCGAACTTGTTGGTAGTATGTAATTTCAATCTTTATTTAGAGTCATATATACATATATATATATATATATATATATGTATGTATGTGTGTGTGTGTGTGTGTATATATACATATATATATGTGTGTGTATATATATATATATATATATATATTGTTTGTTATATATATATATGTGTGTGTGTGTGTGCGTGTGTGTGTGCGTGTGTGTGTTTATATATATGAATGTATGTATATATATATCTATATATATA